TATGTCGTCTACAGTGTTTGTTTGTGTGTTGTTTGTGAGTAATTAGACTCAGCGTGGCGTAGAGAGGGCCGAGGAAGAAACCAAGCAATTAGGTTTTCTTTTGGAGGAGGAAAGGGGGAGGTGGGGGAGGGAGGTGGGGGAGGGAGGTGAATGGGGAGGAAGAGGAGGTGGGGAGGGGGAGGAGGTGAATGGGGGAGGGAAGAGGTGAGTGGGAAGCGGAGGGAGGTAGGATGGTGAAGGGGCAGAAGGAGGAGAGGGAGGGGGAGGGAGAGGGGGGAGGTACGGGGAGGGGAAGGAGGAGGAAAGAGAGGAGGGGGGGTAGGAAGAGGGAAAGGAGGAGAAGGATGTTAGAGGTGGGAAGAGAAAGAGAATGAGAGAAAGACTAAGAGAAGGTGGGGAAGGAAGATAGAGGGTGATGGAGAAGTAGACAAAGAAAAAAGAGAACGAGAATAAGGAGAGAGAGAGAGAAATTATATAAAGGATACAAAGAAAAGAGATAGAAAGAATAAGACAAAGAAAGAGAGGAAAAAAGAGAGAAAAAGTGAGTTAGGAGAAGCAATTAGCTGTTACCACGCCACCATTTTCTTTACTCATCAGCGTTATGGAATGGACCGCCAATTTTAGTATTTACATGTTAAAAATGATTCCTAAAACGCGCAGTTTTCGTGGGTTATATCGCGCCAATTTTAGCATTTAGTTGGCGAAAATATTCCAACAAAATGTATATTATTCCTATGAAATAATCGCAAGAATTTTTTAATTTGTATAATGAAGATTCATCAAGGAAATGTTGTAATTTTAATGGACTCGTGGTGATAATTATGTAATGTAATGTATATAGTGAAAGTCCTCGAGGAAAATGTGTATTATCTCAGTGGAATATCCCGCTAATTGTTCTTATTTTTATAGTTGGAAACCTCAGTAGAGATAAAAAAATATATCTGGCAATTTTTTGTATTTATATTGTATAAATTCGCCCTGGAAATTATATTATTTTCATGGAACAACACAAGAATTATATACAGGATATATATATAAACAAAGAATCTTTGAGTGAAATGTATAATATTTCAATGGACTGTGGCGCCAGTCCCTCGCAGCACAACGCCTCTAACAGCTTCAGAGTTCCACTTATTAGCGGAGCTTCTCGTGTGGCTCAGCCGTAAAAAACATTGTTGGAACGCTTCAGCGCGGCTTACAAAATGCAGCGTTGCCAGTTTTCCGTCTAGCAACATATGCGATCCTGCCCGTCACACGTCCAGTTAAGCATTTTTTGGGGGCGTTCCTGTCTGTCTTGTGAGACGGGCAGTGTGTCACCTGTTAGTCTCATGCCTCCTCCTCCAGCCGCCCTCCCTCCCTGACTGCTGCAGTACAAGACAACAAAAGACATAATCTCCCGCCAACAATGTGGAGGACTTGGCTACGTGTTCCCGCCAGAATATTGTTGACATTCATAACTCTTTGTCGAGAATGTTATCCAGATCGCATTAAACACTTTTATTTAAGCTTTATGTTTACATCTCGTTTTCATACAAACTTATAAGTCTTTAAAAACTCTACAACCTTTCTCAAAAAAATAAGTTACGTGTTTACTCAATCAATATTTACTTAATCACTACAGGTCAAAGGTCAGAGGCAAGTTGTTTGACCTAGACTTGACCCATCGTGTTTGGTCGGTCTTTCTTAATAACCAAACATGTGTTTTGTATATGAAAACACTCTTCAAAGACAGACCTTTTACAGTGAGTCGTCTTTACCTTTACAATAATTGAATCACCTGGAGATTCGCCCCTGCTTATGTCACCTAAAGATTAACAACGTAATGCTAACGTAACCTAACCAAACCTAACTTAACCTAACCTAACCTAACCTAACCTAACCAAACCTAACCTAACCTAACCTAACCTAACCTAACCTAATCTAACCGAACCTAACCCAACCACCCCAGATAGCATTAGAGTGTTTAATGTGAAATAATCTTATGTGATGCCAATAGTTTAGTTTTGTATAGACGAAAACGTTCTTAATCCCACCCTACCACCATTACTACCCCCATCACTACCACAACTACTAGCATTATATGTATCACTATTGTTATGATACTAGTAGGTTATTTGACCCGTTCAATAAAATTTCCTCAAGTTAAAATTCAAATAATTTCAAAATTAAAAGAGCTGATGACTTAAATTTCTGTACAAAATCGATAAAAACTTAAAAACTGAAGATAAAAAAATAGTTCAATAAATCTCACCTTAACATTTAAATCCCAAACAAGGCAGTAAACTACCTAATTACCTAATCACTCTGGAGCAGTAAGATTACAATCCCAAAAGGTACTAATGGATTGGGAGAGAGGAGACGTGATGTTGTCCTCACGGCTGTTAATCCTCAACTAACTAACTCTGAAACCCACCACCAGGATTCCCACCTCACGACCAATCACAGGAGTCCACATACATACACTTCATACTATACTAAGAATGCCAAGTCCTATATATCAGACAGTCGACTCTAGTGGTCAGCGCCATTTATCGAACAGATTCTTCCCTTTACTAAATCTACCTACCGCACAGAATTCGTGAAGTACTTTATCATAACACTATTGTCACAATATCGTCACTACTACCACCATCCATTACCACTACTATCATCACTACTATCACCACTATTACCACTACTGTCATCACTACTATGACCACTATTACCACTACTACCACTATCTTCAATGTCATCACCACCAATTATTATTATTATTATTATTATTATTATTATTATTATTATTATTATTATTATTATTATTATTATTATTATTATTATTATTATTATTATTATTATTATTATTATTATTATTATTATTATTATTATTATTATTATTATTATTATAATAAACTCATAAGAATACCAAGTTAGTCTATACGATAGTGTAGCGACGAGAAGACAGAGAGCGCTGCAGCGAGCGGCCGGGAAGCTTAAAAGTCTACGGTGAATGCCACCCAGGTTTCACTTACTCTTACATTATTATTATTATTATTATTATTATTATTATTATTATTATTATTATTATTATTATTATTATTATTATTATTATTATTATTATTATTACATGTCATCTGTCACATCATTATCGCCTATCTCAACTTTCACCAATATCTCAGACTCTCCCTCATTCTTTCACCAATATCACAGACTCTCCCTCATTCTCTCACCAATATCACAGACTCTCCCTCATTCTCTCACCAATATCACAGACTCTCCCTCATTCTCTCACCAATATCTCAGACTCTCCCTCATTCTCTCACCAATATCTCAGACTCTCCCTCATTCTCTCACCAATATCACAGACTCTCCCTCATTCTCTCACCAATATCTCAGACTCTCCCTCATTCTCTCACCAATATCTCAGACTCTCCTTCATTCTCTCACCAATATCTCAGACTCTCCCTCATTCTCTCACCAATATCTCAGACTCTCCTTCATTCTCTCACCAATATCTCAGACTCTCCTTCATTCTCTCACCATCAAAAACGAAGAGTCAAGCGAGAAAGATTTGCCATTGGGAGGAAAATCAGATTCCTTCGTGGCCGCACCGTGAGGCGTCTTACTGTTACCTGGGATACATTCAGGTTGGAAGTGTCTGGCGAGCGTCTCCACTGATGACAATTTGCATCTCATCTGTGGTGGGAGAATGTGGGAGACAGAGAGAAAGGGGCGTTGGGGGGTGGTGGGAGAGGAAAGGGGGTGTGGGAGAGAGGGGAGAGGGGGGGGGGGTGGAGGAGAGAAAGGGGTGTGGGAGAGAGAGGGAGAGGGGGGTTGGGGGGTGAGAGAGGAGGGGTGGGAGAGAGGGGAGGGTAAGGGAAGTGGGTTTAGAGAATGTATTTAGTAGGGTTTTCTTTCGTGTCTATCTGTCTACCTGTCTGTCTGTCTGTCTCTACTCGTTTCTGTCTGTCTCTCTCTTCTTAATCTACGCTTCTGTCTGTTTCTCCTTGTTTATTGGTCTGTATATCTTTTATTTTCCCTGTCACTTCCGTTCATTATTCACTTTATCAATTCCTTGGTATGTATATCATCTACATCTTTATTTTCCTGTATTATTATTATTATTATTATTATTATTATTATTATTATTATTATTATTATTATTATTATTATTGTTATTGTTATTGTTATTGTTATTGTTATTGTTGTCGTCGTCGTTGTTGTTGTTGTTGTTGTTGTTGTTGTTGTTGTTGTTATAAGAGCAGTCCACCTCATAATAAACTGGTTCGCTGTTGACACTGACCAGAAGTTATGTTTATCAAGAACTTAAATTAACCTTAAATAAATAATGCATGTGAACCAGAATTCTCTCTCCATCTTACGATTTTTTGGTTTTAATCCCCGTAAATTTAAGTGATGTCTGTGAATAAGAGCTGTTCTTAAGTCCTGGTGAGTTGAACTTGGGACATCCTTCAGTCACGCCCCCAGCTGTTGGCATCCTTTAGGGAGAGTCCTACTCCTTCTGCAGGAGGACCCTCGCCTGTTAGTGAGAGGCTGGGGAGAGGGAAGGGAGGTGGGAGATGAGGGGTATGAGAGGGGAGTGTGGTGAGAAGTGAGAGAAGGAGAGGGTTCGGTGAGAGAAGAGGAGGGGTCGGTGAGAGGGAGAGTGGAGTGTGGTGAGAGAAGGAGAGGGAAAGATGGTGGGAGATGAGGGGATGAGAGGGGAGTGTGGTGAGAGGTGAGGGACGGAGAGGGGTCAGTGATAGAAGGAGAGTGGGTCGGTGAGAGGGAGAGTGGAATGTAGTGAGTGGTGAGAGAAGGAGAGGGAAGGATGGTGGGAGATGAGGGGATGAGAGGGGAGTGTGGTGAGAGGTGAGGGACGGAGAGGGGTCAGTGAGAGATAAGGGAAAGAAGGGGAGAGAAAGGGGAGAAATAAATCTAAAACAGTAAATCTAAAACACATGTATAGAGTCTAAAATAAAATAGATAACTAATGTATTCGTGGCCTTGTCTTCCCCCCAGAACTATGACGGACGGTAACATCTCCGCTATCTTGGATTCCCTACAGACAGGATACGATAAGAGAATAAGACCCCAATATGGAGGTAAGTTGGTTCCCGTCTAGTCTTAGGGGTTGACTTGACACACCCTCTTAGAGCCAGTTAGGGAAACCTGAAGAAGGGAAATATTTACACAGACAATCACCAGTACCCCTTCCCTTCCCTCCCCTTCCCCCTCTCCCTCTTCCTCCCCCTTTCCTATTCTCCTACACACAAAAATAAATATCTTCTTTTCGTCTTTCTTCTTCCCATTGTATTGAACCTATCCCTCCCTTCTAAATATCTGTCATATCTGTCATACATAACTGACATATTTTCTGTCAACACTGTCAATTTACCTGTCTCCTCTCACCTGCCTGCCCCCCCCCAATGACGAAATATATGTATATATACAGTATTCACAAACACATTTATCTCTATATATTAATCCCAATGTTTGTTGATGTTAATGTAAAATTTTTGTTCTTACTTGTAATTAATGTATATATAAAAATAGGCACACAAAACTATATTAATGTATATCATGAATATATATATTTTAGTTAGCTAGGAGCCATTTATATAAGATTTTTTTTTCAATGTGTGTTAATCTGTTTCTTGATGTACCTGTAGTGTGTTAATTACTCACCTGTCCCCCCCCCCCCCCCCCCACCACCTACCACCTGGCCAGTGCGTACACCACACATTCCTCACCCTCTGGCCTTCAACTGTTAAATACTGTTAACATTGGCATTGTTAATATGAGTTCTCTGTTAGATAGGCGTAAGTTAATTCCACGCCTGTTAAGTCAGATTGATATTGTTAACACGGTTATTAACATAGAGTTAATTTAAACAGATCGAGTGAGTTATATCGATATTATTATTTGTCCATTATTTGAAATAATAGGGTAAAATAATATAGTTAAAAGGAGTAATAAGACATTTAAAGAAGGATAAGGAAATATCAAAGAATAGAAGAAAAGAGGAGAAGGAAGAATGCAAAAAATAAGAGGGAAAATAAAAAAAGAATTGAATGAAACAAAAGTCGAACAGAAAAAAAATCAATAATCAGAAAAAAACAATAAAAGATCAGGAGAAAAACAAAAGAGGATCAAGTGAAAAACAAAAGACAAACGCCATTTCCTCTGGCTTTTATTATAGAAAAAACCCCACAACTCATTATAACACTCGTCTGTGTCATTATAGAACTGAGGACAGATTTACATACTCAATTCTGAAGTCTACGCTCATTTAATTTTCCTCTGAATATAATTTTAATGGTTTCAAATGACTCTACATATAACGATCTAATGGTATAAGGGGTAGAACGGATTGCTCTCTCCATATAGTCCGGTAAATAGAGGAGATATATATATAATAGCTTAATTAATAACTATAGCAGATGATGGTAGTGTCATAATGGGAAGGTTAATGGTATTTTAAAGGGATAGAAGAGTAAAAAAAACAAAGAAAATATCTAATGGGGATAATGGTAGAAATAGTAACTGTGTAGATGCCTATTGATGATATTAATGGACACGTTAATGGTAAACCTAAAGCCTAATTAACACTTAATGGAACTGACATATGATAGTTACCTAATGGATAAAAATAATGACTAATAGATCCTAATGGTAAAATAATAGATACCAAATAGTTAATGTAGATAAAATAACAGTTATCAAATGGAGACTAATGGTGAAAATAATGGTTTGTTTAATGGGTTAATGGTGACTACAGGAGATGTGGTGTGCGCCAGGCTGGTCATCTTCCTCCCTCTGTACTAGTCTTAACATGCACCATTACACTATTATTATGGTGTGTTTCTTGAGAGCCGCCTTCGGCATCTGTCTCCTCCTGCATCATCATCACTATCATCATTTCTTTCACTATCATCCTCATTATCATCACCATCATCATTCTCACTATCATCATCACTATCATCACCATTATCATAACTATCATCATCTCTTTCACTATCATCATCATTATCATCAACATCATCATCATCATCATCACTATCATTATTATCATCAGCATTATCATCATCAATATCATCACCGCCATCATCATCGCCACAATCATTATCGTCATTATTCGGTTCATCAGCGTCATCATTATCATACTCCTCGTTATCGTCATAATAATAACCACTACCACCACCACCACCACCACCATCATCATCACCACCACCACCACCAACCACCATCATCACCACCACCACCATCATCACCACCACCACCACCACCACCACCACCACCACCACCACCACCACCACCATTATCACCATCACTCTCCTTCATGTTTCACCACCACCATCCTTACCACCACCACCACCACCACCATCCTTACCACCACCACCACCACCACCACCACCACCACTGGACGGATCAGGGAAATTTATATGAGAATAATATCAACACACGGTACAGCTGACGTCATTACCCATATGGACCAATCACGGCTCACCTGCGCACGTCACCGAGTCTTGGAGGATTTGTCAATGCTAATGTAAAGTTTTCAAATATTTCTAAGTTTTGTTTCACATTGTACACCAAATCATTGTACATCGAGCCATTGTAGTACACGTAGAAACAGTACAAGCACCTATAGTGTACTCAGATATAGTGTACTCCAGCTGACCGATCTCCTGTACACCAAAATACAGGTGAGTTTTCCTTTAACAAGATAATGCTATCCAACACTTTCAGGTAAGGAAGTAAATAGACATTACCATCAGTGTTAGTTTAGACCATAATGACATATTTTCACATTTCCCTGATCCGTCCACAGGTAAGACCACGATGTGTTTCCCTTAATCAATAGTCAATAGTATAAGGTTACCTGTCTGTGCTGCACTATGGCCAAATACTTTAATATATAACTTCTATATTTCAGGTGTTCTAGTTGTGTCTGTGTGCGTATATATGTGACACAACAAGCTGTCATATAAAACTGTCACGGCATGACAGCCTCGTTCACACACAATCATCTCACTTGGAAAGCATATATATATTTTTATTTTATTTTATTTATTTTTTTTTGGGGGGGGGGGAGGCAATGAAAGTTTTATTTATGCAATGGACAAACGCGTTGCAGTGTTGTGTTTGGGTCAACAACGTGTCACGAGCGACCATGGGTTTTACGGGCGTGATTCTATGTTAAATGGATGGGGGGGTTATCGACGCTAGAGGTAATCTGGCCTCAGGTAGCCACTGCTGTCAGGGAAAGGGTGGGTGTTGTCACCGTCAACCAACAACTGAAATAAATTGGTGTCATTCTTCACTGACCCACCTTGACAACTTTACCAGGGTGAGAGAGAGAGAGAGAGAGAGAGAGAGAGAGAGAGAGATAGGTTAAAAGAAAGTGAGCTGTCTTTCATGTGTCTATATTCATTCCCCAGTTAGTGTACACAAGGGGAGCGAGAGAGAGGGGAGAGTGGGTGAGAGTGAACCATGGTACACTTCAAGCCCACTCCCCTCTCCCAATAAGTGAGAGAGAGCGAGTGATATAGAGGGAGAGTGGAAGAGGAAATGATGGAGGGAAGGGGAGAGAGTTAAAGAGGGAGGGAGGAAATGAGAGAGAGAGAGACAGAGAGTAAAAAAGAGAACAGAGAAAACAAGGATAAATAAGGCAGAAAAAGGAGAGAGATAAAATAAAATAAGAAGGAGGGAAGGAGAGTGAGAGAGGGCCACGGTTCAGTGCCTCCCTATCTGGCACTCTCCAAGCCCTCTATCCATGGCTTACAAGTGGCACTTCCTCACACCTTGGCCCTGGTGCCAGTTACTATGAGCTCGGGATGAGAGGGAGTACGTTTAAACGCTGCCTTCAGTGAGAGACTAAGACGGGGAGAGGAAGAGGCTGGCTTATTCTCCTCCTCCTCTTCTTCCTCCTCCTCCTCCTCCTCTTCTCGTCCATCATCACAGAATTTAGAATTGTTAGCAAAAACAACCAAGGCGCCTTAAGTGAATTCCCAAGTCGACCTAGAACGGACACACGTAACACCTGTGGGAAAAAATTGAAAAATATTGTTATTTTTAATAGATTTGAAATATAATCGATTATTATTATTATTATTATTATTATTATTATTTGTAGTAGTAGTAGTAGTAGTAGTGGTAGTATTCATCCCTTCCTTCTCACTCTAACCACCTGTCCTTATACTTCATCGTATCAACATTAACCTCCTTTCCTCACACCTCACCCCCACCACTTTCCTCACACCTCACCCTCCCCTCATCATCCTACATAAGACACCCGAACCAAAAGAACAAGAAAGAAAAAAGTTGGGAACGAAAGAGGAATTTTTCTGGGTCAGGATTCTGGCCTCATCATACGGACACCATTTCTACCCAAGCTCTCAAAACATAAAACTTGTTACCTAAGAAAATACACAACCAGAGGCCGTTTTCTTTATCGGTTTCCTCCCCTCTCCCACCCCCCTTGTTTCCTTCTACTCCCCTCTCTCTTCCTTCCTTCCTTTTTTCCTTCCCACTCCCTTCATCCTTCCACTTTAACCCCTTCCCACCCTCTCTTCCTTCCCACACCCCTCCTTTCCAATTTAATCCCCCTCCACCCTTCTTCCCTCTCCCCCTTTCCAACCCTCCCTCTCCCTTCCACCTTAACCCAGAGGAGAGAGAGAGAGAGAGAGAGTTGTGTCTATTGAATGGTTTTGTATGTGTGTGTGTGTGTGTGTGTGTGTGTGTGTGTGTGTGTCTGTATGTGTGTATGTGCTATGAAGAAACAAAACAAAACAACTTCAGCAAAATACAGGAAAAAAAATAATTATATTTACTTAACACACACACATACACACACACACACACACACACACACACACACACACACACACACACACACATCACAAATTACACCAATAATTTAGCCTAATGAAACACAAACATTCTTTGCACATTACGACGAGCTATTCACAAACGCCTATTAGTTGTAACAATTAATAGGTTATAACAATTAATACGGTACTTAACGACACTGACTTATGACACTGACTTATGACACTGACTTTATGACACTGACTTTATGACACTGACTTTACGACACTGA